TTCTTATTTCTCTATAAGGTATGACATAGCCTTTTCCCTCTATAGACTCAAGAAAGAATGACTAAGAACAACCATGTCAGTGTTCTCCTCAGAGCTACTAATGAAACAAAATTGGGAAGGTAGAAACTCTCCATTGTGAATGCAGTACCCAGGAAGGAATGGCACTCCAGAGGTGTTCGGGACAAGAAGATACATTTTAGTAAGTGTTATTCAAATTTGCTTTCCTAGCATAGCCTAGCAGCTGCCTGTTACATAGAAGTCATTCAAATTTTGAAGAATGTCTGAAGGAAAAAACTTGCTAGTGGGAAGCTTGTGGCTGTACCACCAAGGCTCTCAAAGAACATCAGTATTGGAAGGGTCTTTAGAGTGTACCTGTTATTAGTACCTCCTTAACTCCCTTGAATACACCTTTAGAGTGTACCTGTTCCCTCATAATAAGTTCCCTCATAACAAGCTGTAGAGACCGAGGGCCTGAATAAAGGACTTACCTATAGGCCCACTTAATTTGGATCACTTTTCTGAGGAAATACGCTCTTATATGGAAAGAGAAATTCTCGAGTCAGTGTTACTTGCCTTTTCCCAGCACCCACCTTCCAAATCAAAGGAGTCCTGAACTAACCCTCCAAGTAGCTCCCATATCACAAATCAGAACCTGGAATTGAGAAGTTTTTCAGCTCTATCAAGCATGAAATGTGAGGAAGGATGAACAGCAAAATCAGTCAATCATGATAAGACCACCTCCTTCACTTGACCAATAGACTGTCCCAAAGGAGACCACCTTTGTACTCTGTAATTTGGGGACAGAAGAATGGGCTGGGGTAGTAGGGAGAAAAGATTGTGAATTGAGCAAGATGTTCATGATAAACTCAGTTCTAGCTTTGAAAGATCAGAAATAGGCTTTTCAAAAGCTATAATGATGCCAACTTTTGGCAATTTTAGCTACACTGCCCTAGTGGCAGTGGTAGTCAGATCTCAATCTCCCTTTGGGGGAACTTTAGTCCAGAAATTTGGGGGGCTCCCACCAAAAGGGACCTAGACAGATTTGCCAAGGAACATCATTAAAACAGAGTTCAGAATAAATGTAGCTGTCATCACATTTTATCCAGAGAACTGGATTTGGAGTCAGAGAGATAGACCAGATGACCTCTAAATGTCCCTACCAGATCCACCATTCAATAAAGCACTGTTCTGAGAGGAGGAAGAGAAAGGGAAGAATAACACAAATAAAACAAACTATTGGTACAGACAACTAGCAAATTGGTGAACAGTAGTCAATATCACATCTGTCACCCACTCACAGAACAAGGACCTCTCTTATCCTAATAGGAGAGGATAGATTAGTTAGTCCCTTCAAGGGTCTCATGAAGGCTGTCCTGCCCCACCAGACCCTCTCTCTCTTCAGAGGACTGTTCTAGAAGTCTAAAGAGAATACCCAAAGTGGGGCCTCCTTGGTGGTGCAGGTGGTTGAGTGCTGCGCTGCGGAGCTGTCCGCAACCTCTGCAGCGCCAGCTCGATTCCGGCCAGCCAGAGAGAATCCCACATAGCGCAGCAGACCTTTCTTGCCGTGCCTGCTGCTCCCCTCAGCAGTATATTTCAGTCTGCCTGTTCTGTTCCCCACTCTGTCTCTGGTGAATCCTCTCACCCTCCCACGCATCTGGCCTATACCCAGGTTCTTGTATAAATAAATAAATCTTTAAATATAAAAAAAAGGAAATGCCCAAAATGTTTCCTGCTCTGTCTTTAGCACTATACTTTATGTAGAACCAAAGAAGTAGAGAGATGCAAAAACAAAAAAATCAGCCTCTCTCACATAACCTCCATTCCTGATCCCTTTTTGCCATGCTGAAGTCTGTAGGGAGGGCTGGTTCAAGGGTTAAAAGATTGAGATTCTACCTCCTATTCACCAAGTACCATTTTAGTGCCACTCGAGTGGCTCAAGCAATGCTAGGAATGGCAGGAGAATAAACAGTCCACATAGCCCCTGTTAAAGTTTAGCTGACTATAGACTCACAAGCCTTCAAATACTTCAAGGAGCTGGGTTCTATATCTGCTTACATGGATGGCCCCACTAATGACCACTTGTCATCTTTCCCCTTAACGTTGTTGAGCTAACTCTTAAACCCCAGAAAACTGAAGTTTTATCAAGACTGACCCTCTTATGAGGACCCAGATGCAAGTCCTAGCTTTGCTTCTGACATGCTGCATCATTCTAGGTGAGTCTCTCCCTATCTATGTATCTCAGTTTCCCCATCAATGAGAGGGGTTGCACTTGAAAAGTTGGAATGAGGCTTTTCAACTCTAACAAATTTAATCTCAAAAACACTGTGAATATTTAAAAAGGATGGGGAAAAAGACTATTTTTGTTGTTGGTATCTGTCTTATGTCATCAGAAAGTGTAGATGGCAGTTTATAAGCTTCTCCATTCTGGTTACTAAAGCAGACTCAGGAAACGTAGCAAGTAGAAGCAGAATCCAAGAACAGGCAGGGAAGGGGGTGCAGATGGGGCAACTGATATTTTTCCACTACCCTTCCCTACCTGCCATAATCCAGAAATAGCCTAAAGCACATAATGAAGGGGTGGAGAATAGGGAATTTCCCCCCTTTGTTAAAGTTACTAGTTGGTATGAGTGACCTAGGGAGTGCCCCAGAAGCCTTATCATCAGGATGAATGAAAAAATGAACAGCAGGCACCTTGTAACACCTCCAACTCTTACCAGAAGACCACACAAATGCCAACATTGTTTATTTGCCCAAATTATTGACTCCTTTTTAATCTTAAGACCAGGAAGTACAGGGGGTAATTTGTTTTAGGCAAAAGACGGGACACAACTTTAAGAACCCAATCACTGAAAGCCTGGACCCAATCTTGGTTCTGTTATCATGTGGCCTTAGGTATGTCCTTTCCTGTAGGTCTATATATCCTCCTGGGGGGCGGAATGGGAGGGGGTGGAGGAGCTAGTCTCTAAGGGCCTCTTCAGATTAAGATTCTATGGTAACAGACATGATATAATTGTTTCTCCTAAAAGACAACCATATATTTTTTTTAATTATATATTTTTATATCATTGTTCATTTTTAAACAATGTTTGCTTTGTTTTCTTCCCCTCTCAGGTGTAGTCCCCATAGAATTTCCTTCACCAATGCACCCATGCAGCATCACCACATTCCCCTGTGTCTTTAGCCAATCTGGACAATTCTCCAAGGCATGAGGTCTATCAGAATTCAGTCCTCACCTTCCAAGTTAAGTTTCAGTCAATCTGCATAAATATACCTTCAATTTTCAGGTACCTTTAGTACCCTTGGCCTGATCAAAAACAGCTTATACTCTAGACTCCATACCCAGGAAAAGGGTCACCATGCTATCTTCTTTGCCACCTTTAACTGAGGTGAAATAGTTAAGGCAACTTTGAAACAACTTCCAGGCCCATGAAGTTGCATTTAAAGGTGATATTATCTTAAAATTCAGGATGAGATATGCCACAAAAGAGAGGTCATGGGTTAAGTCTATTCCTTAGACCTGTCCATCTATTTAGGCAAATTCACACCTCAAGAGGAGTTAAGGAATCAATAGCAGCAAGATAAAGACAAAAAGAGGCTCCTGTGGGGATCTTTATAATCCTGTGTGTTGGCAGAGACAGTGGGTTTTCCCCTCTCTTTTCAAAACCATTGTCTCTAACTTTGTATGAGGGAAAGTGGGAAGGGGGATCGAAAAGCCCCTTATCATGAAACCACAAACAATTTTAAAAAGATAGTAGAAGCACATACTTGTTGAAAACTTGTTGTTTCTTAAGGACAAGGGTCCTGGAAAGGAAATAATGAGTTGGCAATAAGGCCAGAATACAGCAATGGGATAACCAAAGCTCAACGCACACCCAAAGAACTGGGACCCTCAGTGCTTCCGATCCCAGGGTCTCTCAACCCTTCTCAAGGATTCAAGTCACTATCTCAGCTCTACAAGGTTCAGGCAGTTTTATGGAGAGCACTGGAAAACCTAGGCCAGCCCAACATGCCGTTTGGTCTAAGGGACTCAAGCCAGGGTCATCATCAGGCCTTCCTGAGGAGGGACCGGCTCCAGCGGCCATTTGGCATGACTTGCACAAAAGCAAGCAGAGCTCATTAATGAGGCGCACCCCTCTCTCCTGAGTATCTGGGGCCCCCTAGGCCCTACTCCTGTGCAGCTTCTGTGCTTCTCCTAACAGACAGTGGGGTGAAGAACAGATCTCAGAAACTACCACCATTTTCTAGAAAGGTATTGCCCCACAGGGAAACCCACACTTCACAGAACAGTCCAGAGGGTATAGGAGGTAGAAAGCCATTAAGTAATAGGGAGGACAGGGATTTGGCCAGTGAAGAGGAGGAAGAAATAAATCTTCTTGCCTTGAAGGCAAGGTACACCTCTCCTCACACTAGGGCCTAGTAAAGTGTTAGCGCTCCTAGGCAAAAATAAGCAGCCTCCATAAATCCCTCCAGAATTCTTTACTCCCCTCCTAGTGGGAAACAGCTGGAGCTGCCTGCCTGGGAGACTGTGGGAAAGGTGAGTGGGGATGCAGGATCCACCCTGAGCTGCTCTTCGTGTCCCTTGCGTCTTAGTATCCTTAGCCCCTCATGGACAGTAGCAACCCTGCCCCAAAAAGGAGCCCGTTCCTGGACTAGGAGACGTGTTTTCAGAGCCTTCTCCTCAACACCCATTGGCCCATGTGGGGCAAGATGAGATCTCCAGCCCTCAAGAGAGCCCTCCATACTATAGCATCCCAAAAGCAAGGAAATGGAATCTCAGAAGGCAGGCCCTGCCAGGTCCACACTTTTAGCTCAGAAGCCCCTCACCACTAGGGCGCACTGGCTCAGGATCCGCTCCGCGCCCTCCCTGCCCTGGGCCTTCGCTTAGGGCGCGGCGTCCCGGGTGGACCAGCGGGCGGCTGGCCAAGTCCCCAGACTTCAGCAAGGGGCAGTAGGGGCCAGCTGGAGCCCCTAAGGCCTGCAGCGCCCACCCTGGCACTCACCGTCTTGGGCATGGTGGTGGCAAAGTCGGCTGAGTTGGCGAAGTTTCGCTGGGAGCTGTTGGGCGGCGCTGAGCACGCAGTACACACGGCTGGGACTCTGGGAGTTGGGGGCTCGGATTGGGTGCCTCGCTAGAGTCGGGGCGACTGCTCGGCTTCCTGCTAACGGGCCACGACTCCACAAACCCCACCCAGGAAAGAGCCGCCCCCGTCGCGCCGCCCGCTTCTTTATGTGGCCAAGCTTCCGCGCCGCTCCCCGCCCTCGCGCCCGCCTCCTTGCGGCTTGTGCCTCGCAGGGCCCCGCCCAGTCCGGCCCAACCACCCCAGCCAAGCGGGGGTCCAGGCTGTGCCTGGGAGTCCGAAAAAGGGAGCCCAACCTCTACCCAGGCCCACCTTGGCCCCTTCTCACCCTTTCACGGCCCTTAACATTCCGCGTCCTGGCTGCCTGGTCCCATTCCCAAGCAGGGCTGGACCCTGGGTTGCACCCTGGTGATGCCTAAGCAGCTCCTGACTGAGACTTTCCACTAATGGAGATCTCACTGCCTTTCAGGACATCAGGTTCCCTGTCAAGACAACTCTGACTCTTAGAAAGTTATTGCTGTGTGTATCTGAACATCTTTCTCCCTGGCTTTCTGGCTGTGAACCCCATCTCTGTTTCCTGGAACCATACAAATCTTCTGAGGTCCCTGACAACTCCTCCAAGGGCACACTGAAATTTCCCTTGGCTAAAATATCTTGGCTCCTCCAACACTTAATCCATTCTTTTCTGACAGGCTCTATATCTATTTTTGCATCATATACTTCCCCATCCTTACTCAATCCTCATTTTAATCAGTTGACTCCTTTTCCCAATATCTATCCTCTACTCACTTTCTTTCCTTCAATTCTCAGTCTCTGCCTTTCTCAAATCCTTTAGTCCCTCCCCAACACATTCAGTGACGTATGTGATTCTGTCTCTGATAGATGAGATGCACCTCCAGTCTGCCCTTGGTCTGTGTCTGCCAGCTCCCTTTCTACTTCTTGTTGTGGTCAGGGAATCTCAGGGCATCAGTGTTTTAGACTATAGCAGTTATCTGGTTAACTATGAGTTTTAGTTTGAAAGGGGACTGGACATAGTCCTTTTTTATTCCATCTGGCAACTATATGGAGAGGCATGGTATGAGTATCTTTTCTGAGATAGGGCACATTGTGGATGGTGAGCCAACTAAAGACAATAGAAAGGGTATATAAGATGAGTGGTCAGGACATTTGGCGTCTAGTAGTTGCTTTCCAATCATTCACTCTGTGACCACTGTGTACAACTTTGGTAAGTCCCTTCCCCTCTCTAAGTGTGTTTCCCCTTCTGTAACTAGAAAGGTTTGGACTTCTGGGTTACCAAGGTCCTTTCCCACTTTGATATTATAAAATGATGAGAGAGGGAAGTAGACTTTCTAGGGGAAGAAGTGAGTCTAGCAGGACTGTAATAGATGGGCCTTGCATTCTCACTGAAGAATCAGCAGCACTATTCCTTGTTCCTCTGCACTCTCAACTCTACAGTGGTAATGAGTCAACGTGTCTCAGTTTCTCTCACTGCCTCCAAGATTCACTGATGTATGCTAGGTTAAACAAAATTCCCTATCCAAACTATTTTCTTGTGCTGAGCAGTAGACCCGAGGGAGAGCTATACTGCCCAGAACACCTCTATAGCAGGAGAATCAATGGCTGTCAATCATAAACTGAAAATGTCATGGCCATAATTTTCATAGACATTCAAGGAATTTACTGATTCGGCCTGGAACTAGACTCTGTGCCTTAAAGGGGAGGGACAGTTGATTGGAAACTACAACTTTCATTATACATTCTGAAAAGTGTGCTGTTCCCCAGGTCCCCAGGCAACATCCCCCCAAACACACATACACAAGAGAGTTGGTTAGGGAGTGCCAAGCAACTGAATACACTTATTAAAGGGGGAAAGGGGCACATTAGTTCAAGGAAGTGAAGGGGATTCAGCAGTTGTGGAAGCTAAGGAAGTTGCTGGAAAGAGGGACTGAGAGAGAAAGGTTAGGTTGGCCACCTGGGGAGAAGGGTGGGAAATAGAAGAAAATATAAACTGTCAGAGATTCTTTATCCCAGCCCCCACTCAGGTCAAGGGAAACAAGAATGAGATAGAGGGAAGGACTTAATCTAGGTTGGGCAACCAATGTGGAGATTGGATTCAGGAGATAATAGAGAAGACAAAGAGCTCTGTTGAAGCTGTTGAAGTAATACTAGCAAGAAACTTGAACAGTAAGTGTGCCTCCCATTTCACAGACATGAGTTTGGTATACTAATTTTGGTCAAATAGTTAGACATTGCTTGAAGGTTAAACTTGAAACCCTCTAGAGTTTCAAGCTAGGAAGGATCCACATCAGTTATCCCCCTGGGTCCAGGACAGACAACTGAGGTGTTCTCTTACTCTTCAAGATGGCATGGCAAGGGAAACACAACTTTGTACTTTACTTCTTTTTAAAATACTTAATGCACACACACAAAAATATATATATATGCACATATATATGCATATATATGTATTATATGTATCTGATCTCCCCCAATCCACCCCATTCTCTACCATGATCCTGCGTAAACTGAGAATTAATTCAATATCTCTGGGGCCAGAGTAATCTTTACATTTAGGTTTAGATATGATGAGGCCTATGCCAGTATTTGAAGAGAGAAAACATGGTAATAAGGGCTAAATATCCCCACATATGTTAGCTACCCTGAGTAATTCACGAAGAGTTATAGAGACACTTGGGTTTTTAGACAAGCTTGATTCAGAGAGTTCAAGGAGAGACAAACATTTATTCATCAAGCAGTAAAGTTAGGTGAAGGTCAGTTAGGTTAAAGAGGGTTACAGGAATATTCTGGAGCTGGAATCCAAGGAAGTTGGGAACACCTGAATCAGGGGTTAGGAGAAGATTTGGCCTGGGCTTTAGGCTCATGCATAAAGCAAAAAGTTTCAGGATTCATAAAGGATTCCCAGGATTGTTTCAAAGCAACAATAAGTCTGAATGTCAAAATTAGAGTAATGGCAAGCAGGAACTGCATAAGGCTGATTTACATGAAAACCTATGCCAAGCTCAGGATACAGATGAGATTGGACTTGTAATCACCTCCCACCCAAGATCTAAGCTTACTGAAATAAAGAAGTATCTGTGTTCTAAATGGCATTCCTCTTTCAGAGGACACAGTGATGCAAGCAAGACATCACCCGAGAGGAACTATATAGGAAGCAGTAGTGAATCCTAGTGATACATTGGAAAAGAATAAACCAATAAACCAGTAAATGGTAGCAGTTAAAAGATTCCCATCACTCAGAACTTTCTGAGGGCTGGTTTTTACTTCAAAATTGTTAGAAAGTCCTCCCTTATATCTAAATTAATCTTGTCTGCTTCACTCAGAACAATTATCGTGGATGATGCTTGGGGGAAGAGTTAACTGAGCCTCTGAGATTACTCTTCTCCTTCATTTATACACGAGAAATATGGCAGAAAAGGATGAAGACTAACATTAGCTTGGGGCCACGCATTCCAGGACCTTCTTTCTCTGTTCCTTACCCAAGGTCAGTAACCTAAACATGTGGCTAGCTGTATCCTTTACCCAAACAAGAAAACAGGTAGAAGAATAGACTAGTATATTACCAATGGAAAGAGATTCTCATGGTACAAAACTGTAGCAAGAGGGGAATCTTACTTTTAGCCATTCTCTGTCTTTCACCCACTTCTTGGAAATAAAAGCATTGGTTTGGATGAAAAGGGAGAATATGGTATTTAATGAGTCACCTATCATGTGCTGAGCAGTGGGGAAGCCATTTCATTGTCTAACTTCATGTAACTCTTGCAAGGATCTGTAGAAGTAGAAATGAGAAAATTAAGACTCTTGAAGAGTGATTTTCTAAAAGCACAGTTTGTTGATAGTGGTACAGGAATTTGGATCCAGGGAATATATATGCAATGGGAGTGAAAAGAACAGCATGGAGAGGTTTGGATAGGTGGCCATCAAGGTACTTTCCAACCTAAGTGCCTGCAGAGTGGAAGCTGCTGGTCTCGGAGAAGTCTGCACCACAGAGACCTTCTCCCAACCCAAGCATACCAGAGGATGCAACACATGCCAGCAGTAACAGCGGCTCACTTGGGTATGATTTCTTGTGCACAGATCCCGTCTTTCCCAGATAATCAGTGAATCTATTCCTAATCCCTTTGTAAAAATTGGGAAATGGGGTTTCTTTCCACAGGTGTAATGCTGCAAGTCATTGGCAAGTCTGCATGTCTGAGCTGGGGCCAGATCCAGATATCCTGTCCTTTCTCTTGTGTCCTCTCTACAGTATTCCACTAGATTGCACTGTTGCCAGGGAGTGTGTGTCATTAGGTGTCTACAGAACATGGCTTTTGTTTTCCCCAGAGGAAGAATGAAAGCTATCACTGGCAACTAAGGGTCAGACATGGTGCTGTGCTTTTTGTACACGTTACTGCATTTTATTTGACATGGCAAACTTTCAGTAGTGGTATCGCACCCTTACATGACAGACAACATTGAGGCTCTGAGGGGAAAAGTGCCTTAACCAGAAGTTGCATAATCTGTTTATGGTGGGACAGGGATTTGGCCCTGGTCTTGTGAGTCCAAAGTCAACCTTTTGTCCACCATCCTGACTGGCGACTTTCTCAGTCTTGAGCCCAAGGAAGGAGAGGCATTTTTAAGATTTCTGTCATCCCTGCACCTCAGTGCTCAGACTGGACAGCTCAGGATAAGGGGTGGGTAATAATAAACATCGGTGATATTGCATCTTGCCAATATCAAGTGCCTGGGAATATTTATTATTTTTTAAAGATTTATTTATTTATTTGTTTGTTTATTTATTTATACAAGCACTGGGTACAGTCAGAAGCATGGGAGGGTGAGAGAATTCACCAGAACCAGAGCAGGCAGACCGATAAAGTACACTGCTGAGGGGAGCAGCGGGCGGCAGGAGAGGTCTGCGAGCCACGTGGAGCCCTCGCCAGCGGCCAGGGATCAAACAGGCACTGCAGAGGCTGCGGGCAGCTTCGTCAGCCCAGCGATCAACTGCTGCGCCACTGGGGAGGCCCGGGAATATTTATTATTAATCATGCTAATGGACAGAGTCAGAAGGAAGAGTTTCTCTGACTTTTCCTCCAGTAAAGCTGGAAACTTTTCAAGCGCTTCCCCAGCCAGCCAATGTCAATTCAATTTGA